AGCATAGGCCTTATACAAGAGAATAAAAAATCCATACTGCTCTAATTACAGCATGTACTCAGACAGACAGCTTATTAGGTTGGTCATTGTATGTAGTTGCTTAGCTGGATTTCATTTGGGAAATTGCAGGTATTTTTAAAAATCTTAAGCTGCTGTCATGACAGTTTTTCTGTTTTTAAACACCAGTACTCTCCTAATGATAGTACATCATATAATCATAATTAGCATCATGATTTCAGGACAAAAAAGGACATTAGAGAGATGCATGGTGAGTTTAAGGATGTGACTTTTTAAAAATTTTTATACTTTATTTTTCTTCTAATTACATGTAAAGACAATTTTTAATATTTGTTTTTTAAAATTTTGAGTTTCAAATTCTCTCCCTCCATTCTCTCCCCCTCCCTCAGACAGTAAGCAGTTTGATATAGATTATACAGGTGTAGTCACTCAAAACATATCAGCCATGTTTCAAAAGAAAACACAGACCAAAAAGAAAAATAAAGAAAGTTAAGAAAAATATGCTTTGATCTGTATTCAGACTCCATCAGATCTTTGTCTGGAGGAATATAGCATTTTTTCATCATAAGTCCTTCAGAATTGTCTTGGATTATTGAATTACTCATAATAGCTAAGTCATTAACAGGTGATCTTTGTACAGTATTGTTGATACTGTATACAGTATTCTTCTGGTTCTGCTCATTTCACTTAAATCAGTTCATATAAGTCTTCTGAAACCATCCTGCTTGTCATTTCTTTTAGTACAGAAGTATTCCATCATGATCATATACTACAACTTGTTTTGGGAATCCCCTCAATTTCCAATTTTTTGATGCAGCATATTTTCAAGAATAATTACTGTTTAATGATCTATCATCAAAAGCATGCATCACCAGAAAAGTTAGGTGGGATTTTCAGCAGTTGAATATAGGAATGATAGATGGACAATTTGAGTGCTTTACAGGTATTCATGAAAAATTAAAAGAACCAGAGGGAAGGTCCCCAGCATGTTGGGAAGATTCTCTAAAGGATTTATAAGATGCCATAGATGAGAATTGTGTAGGATAGAAAAGCATGGAGTGATTTCAGTCTATAATACCCCTCACATGTACTAAACCCTTGTATTAGAGAAAAATATACCTTTATATGAGTTACCCCACACTTTAGAGGTTCAGAAAGTTAAGTTTTATTACTGGAAAAATCAATTTAAAGTAGGCCATCAGAGACTTGCCACTAAAATTTCAACCTGGAAGGATCTTGCTTCTAATTATGTTTTCAGAAATGAGCTTTTAATAGAAAGAAGTACATTGCCATTTTGTTAATGTGTTCCTGATGTTTTATCCTTCAAGTTATGGAATACAGGACAGGATTCCATCCAACATTATTATTGTGGCACTAAGCACAAACAGAAAAAAAATGAATTTCAGCTGTTTGAATGGAAATGTAAAAGTGTGATAGGATGGAAAGAATGTCCTGGACTACTTTTTATTCATTTTTTGAAAAATCTATAAAAATATTTGTAAGCATTTTCTTTTACCCATTTTTTGGAAAAATGTTACCTTTTTAGGATTTAAAGAAGAAAAATCTGCTACTATTGATGTTATACAATATAATATATTTGTCTGATATTTTTTAGGAACCTTTTAGCCATAGATCATAGCATGGTATGTCTCTATTACACTGCTTCTGAATTTTCTCTTATTGGGGTTATTCACTCAATTCAAAAAGTCTTGTAAGTGTTTAAATCCAAGACTTTAATTTATGTTTTTGACCTGGGGAATCACAGTGGGAGTTTAGGAAGACAATTTTTATATGTACCAGCTTTTTTCCTAATGGTTGTTGCACTCAATTTTTTGTAATATTCCTTTGGAATCTGGCAGCACATTATTTTATGGATTTGGGAAGAGGAGATCTTGCCAAGTTACGCAAATTAACCGAAATAAATCCTTTTCTGCTCACTTTATTTTCAAAATAGAACAGGGAGCCCATTAGAAAATAGGTTTGCTAACTATCAGATCTCAAATTCCTTCTCATCCAATATCTCCACAGTAAGACCAGCTTCTTTAATCTTTCTGTCTTGGGGCTCAGTTCTCATATACCAAATTAAGGAAATGTCCTTTTAGCTCCTTTCTACCATGAAACTTGGGGGCTGAATACATTTGCCTGCATCCTTACTTGCCCCCATGTTTACCAATCTTTTTTTCCTGAACATCACAATGAATATATTACTACTATTAATAGTAATAACTAACATTGATGTAGCACTTTGAGCACTTTACATATATTATCTCATTTGATTCTTGTAACAACCCTGTGAGGTTGTTTCTGTTATTACCCACATTTTTTAGAGATGAGGAACTGAGGCTGACAATGACACACAACTATAATTTGTGGGAGAATTCAAATTCAAGTCTCTCTGACTCCAAGTGAATTTCACTCAATTCACTGTGCTACCTATTAAGGAGAAATGCATAGTTGCACCCCTTGCGTCTAATGTAAAAGCAGAATGTGATGTAGTTGGACATCTTAATTAAATAGCATATTGGATAGGAATCTCCTTGATCCAGGGCCATAGGATTCTAATTCCAACATCTTCATTAGTGAATGAATCAAAGAATAAATCATAGGAACAATCCATAATTATATTAAAAAGAATGATAACAATGATATAACATACCAGAACTCATAAATCAAAGTTAAATTAAAACTTAGAGGAAATTCACATCACTAAAACCATTACCAAAATAGAAAAAGGGAAAATCAATGAGCGTGCACAAATTAGCAGCCCTGAAATAAGTACAAATAAGGAAACCATAGAAATTTGAGAACCAAAGAAATATGTAAATAAAAAGACTATAGAACTTAAAAGATGGTTTTTGGGGGGGAACCTAAAAAACAAATTACCAAAATCAGGTAAGGAAAATGTGAACTAATCAAGGTGAATTCACAGAATAAGAAATTTTAAAATTATCATAAATTACGATAAACTACTATTTGCCAGCAAAACTGAGAATTCAAAAGAAGTTGACAAGTGTCTGTAAACATTTAAAATATCAAACTAATAAAAGATGGATTAGAAATCTTAACCTAATCTCAGAACAGAATTTAGCAAATTGTAAATTACCTACCAAAGAGGAAGACCCTTGGGCCAGATGGAGAAATTGTAAATTGTATCAAATGTTTAAAATTTGTAGCATAATATAACATAGTTTGTAACATAACTGTGCTACAAAAATAATGCACTGTTATACCTCCAGGATCAAATATAAAGTCCTGTGTTTGGCTCTTTTCTACCTTTCTAGACTTCTTACACCTTATACTCTACCCCCACGTGCTCTGTGATACAGTAACACTGGCATAGTTGCTGTTTCTCAGGACACTCCATCTCCTTGCTCTGGGCATTTTCATTTGAGGTACCCCATGCCTGAACCTCTCTCATCTTTCTCCTAGCTTCCCTGGTTTCCTTCAAGTTCCAGCCTATGTCCCATCTACAAGAATCCTTCTCCAGTTCCACTTAATGGTAGAGGCTTCGTTGTGAAATCATCTCCCCATTTACCCTGTATACTTGGTGTCTGTGCATAGCTGTTTGTATGTTGTCTCCTTCCTTTAGTCTCTGAACTCCTTGAGAGCAGGGACTGTTTTTTTGCCTTTCGTTGTATCCCCAGTGCTTAGCATGTTGCCTAACACCTAGTAGGCACATAATAAATGCTAAATGGCTGGTTGACAGGATATTACTCTGACATCTAATCTATTGAAATGTGAATTTGATGGATTTTGTCTTTAACATCCTAATTTCTTTAGGCCTGGCTTACTTTTGGTAATAGACAGTAGATTTGAAATATTATTTTCTGTTTTTCTTATGCTTCCTTCCCCCCCCCCCATTCTTTACCAAACTTGAAGAAACTTTTAATGGGTCAAATTTACAAAAATGCATGTGTTTGAATAACTGATTGAAAATTCTGCCCATTTTCCAACCACAAACATGTAAAACATCATTGAATATAATAAAATATTTATAAACATCACATAAAATTATGGAATTTTGAACCTTAGAAATTATCTAATCCCATGGTTCTTAATGATCTTCATGATCTGTGGTTTGTTTTTAAAATATTTTGATGACTATAGCTCATATAATTGATTTCCCTTTTAATTCTATTATTTTAACACACTTTTTAAAAATTTGAAAAAGGATCTACATAGGCTTCCCCAGAATGCCAAAAATTTCAGTTAATGCAAAGGAAATGAAATCTAGGCTACCTTCTTTATTTTACTGGTGAAAAAAAATGTGTCACAGAAAGATTTAAGTCCTAATCTGTGGGTCATATAGTGGGTTCTACAAGCAAAACAAATTCAGGGGTACTTCCAATAGAGCACACTTAATTGTGATTTATGATGCAGCCAGAAATATCAGGTTTAGGGGACAGCTAGGTGGCACAGTGGATAGAGTACTGGCCCTCGAGTCAGGAGGACCTGAGTTCAAATCCAGCCTCAGACACTTGGCACTTACTAGTTGTGTGACCCTGGGCAAGTCACTTAACCCCATTGCCTAGCCAAAAAGCAAAAAAAAAATGGTAGAAAATTTTGTGTGGTTGAGAGTGAAGAGTTGTGAGTTAATTGGTTATAGAGTATAAATAGGTATATTGTTTCATAGCCTGTATTTAGTAGCTGTAATTTTTTTTATTTAATGAAAAAGTAGAAATTTTGAAATAATGACACAATAATGCTAGCTTTATATGAAATTAATTAGTCTTCATTTAATCATAGCTGCCAAAGTAGATTGACATTCTTAAGTTTGGAAGGGTTCTTTTACTGGGGATTTATGGTAGCAAATGCTGGTTGAAAGATTCTGTACTTTGCACATAGAGCAGTAGTTAACATGCTTCTTTTGGATCTGGGTTAATGATCAGTATTCATTTTACTTCATGGGGGGCCCATTATAGGGTTATTGTTGTTGTTATCATTTTTAATGGATATGTTAAGCTAAATTGTTTCTTTACTAGGTGATGGTGGAGTCAGTGGGGCAGAAGATGTCAGCTTTAAAAAGAGCCAAAAGGATGATGATGAACAAATTACAAAGTACAGGCAACTTTTGCAGCTTATTCAAGAAAAAGAAAAGAAATCCAAAGACAATGACATGGAAATGGAAATTAAATGGGTTCCAGGTAAGTTAAATCAACTAGCATTTCTTTAGCCCCTCATATATGCTAGGCATTTGTGCTTAATGCTAGGGACACAAAAAAAGGCAAAAGCAGGCCTTGTCTCAAGGAGCTTACAGTGTAGTGAGGGAGACAGTATGTAACCAATTATTTTTAGACGATATGTACGTTATCAATCAGGTATACTCCCAGAGGGAAAGCTCTATAATGAAGCAGGATGGGAAAAGCTTTTTGCAGAAGGTGTCATTTTAGCTGAAACTTGAATGAACAGTGAAGTTGAGGAAGGAGAGAGTTCCAGGCATGGGAACCTGCCAATGAAATTAATGCTCAAGGTTGTGACATAGAATGTCACGTGCATGGAACCAATCAATATCACTAGAGCTAAGAGTACATGAGGTTTAGCAAAGCGTAAGAAGACTGGAAAGGTAGAAAGGGGTTGGGTTGTGACGGTCTTTGAAAGCCAAAGAGAGGATTTTATATTTGATTCTGGAAGTAATAGAGAGCCGCTGTAGTTTATGGTCAGAACTGAGTTTTAGGAAGATCATTTAGACAGCTTAATGGTGGATAGATTGGAGTGGGGAAAGACTGAGACAGTCAGACCCACCTGCAGGGTATTATAATAGTGTAGGCATGAGGTGATGAGGGCTTGAACCAGGATGGTACCAGTGTCAGAGTAGAGAAGAAAGTTGATGGAAATACTTGACCATTGAATGAGTGTGAGGGTTAAGAAAGAGTTAAGGAGCGACGGAAGCAGGAATTATGGAGGAAAGAAAGACCATGAGCCAGATGCTGAATTCATTGAGAAAGAATCAAGAGTGTTCTGGAGGTCTGTAGACAAAAACTACCAGATTTTTGCTTGGATAATAAATATAGTTCAAATGAACCTCAAAGGAGGAGTGATGGTGAGCATGGAAGTGGCATTGGGGTAGCAAGAAGTATTCCAACATCTCCCACCACAGCCAGCCAAAGTGCAACCAGTGCTGGAAAGAGTAATCTAGGAAGAATTATGTACCTACCTAAAAATTTTCTTTTTTCATACTGAATTTCACAAACCTGAGTAGATTTTTAGATTTAGAGAAAAAGAACATTTATTTGAAATAACAATATTAATTACTAATGTGGTATTAAAAAGAAACAACATGGTTTTAGTGGATAGATGATGGACCTGGTTTTAGGAAGACCTGAATTCAAATTCCACCTATGACACACTATCTTTGTGGCTCTTTACAACTCTTTACAACTCATTTTATTTCTCTGTGCCTCATACAAATCCCTAGGATTTCTTTATAAAGTTATGATAATGACAGGTCAGCTTCATGTTAGTAGAGAATTTTCCCATATCTGGAGTTGTACATACTGATAAAATCTTAAATTAAGTAACAAAAGAAACTATGACGTTGGGCGCTTTCATTCTCTGGGATCATCATCAATGGTAAGAATCATAACAATAACTAGCATTTATATAGTGCTTAGTGTATGCCAGGCACTGTGCTAATCTCCTTTTTTCAGTTGAGGAAACAGGCAAACAACTTAAGTGACTTGTCTAAGGTCACACAACTAGTGTCTGCTGCCTGATTTTAACTCAGATCTTCCTGACTCCAGGCCCACACTCTATTCCCTGTGGCACCTAGCTGCTTCAGCAAATGAAGTTAGACAAAGTGACTTCAAGGTGCCTCTTAGCTCTAAAATTTATGAACCTTGTTTCTTTTGGCCTAGAATGTACTAATATCTCTTTTGGTTCTGTTTGGACTCTTTTTGGCGATAAAGATGTAATCGTTTCTATCTGTTAGCAAAAGTAGGTCCTTGATTCTGGTTATTATATTCTTGAAAGTAATAAAACTTTCATTTTTTAAAAAAGTGCTCTTTATTTCAAATGATTTTATTGTTTTAGACTGACCTTCTTCCCTGTCCTAAGTGGATTTGTATCTTAAGTGTGCTATGAACATCTAAATAAACATACCATAAGTGATTTTTTTATAGATGTATTACCATTTTGGGCCATCTTTTTTTATTTGAGAGTTAGCATGGAAGATCAGGCGGCTAGGTGGCATAGTGGCTAGAACACTGGGCCTGGACTCAGTGTCTGCCTCAGTTTCCTCATCTAAAATGAGCTGGAGAAGGAGATGGCAAACCACTCCAATGTTTTTGCCAAGAAAACTCCAAATGAGGTCACAAAGATTTGAACACAACTGAAAAATGACTGAGCAAGCAACAAAATGGAAGTACAGAAAAAGCAGTGGATTTGGAGTTAGAGGATCTGGCTTTAAGTCCATAAGGGTGGATTGACTTGCCAAGGTTACACAGACAGTACCATAGCCTGGATTCAGTTTCCCATCTATAAAATGAGATTATTAGGGCAGCTAGGTGGCACAGTGGATAGAGCACTGGCCCTGGATTCAGGAGGACCTGAGTTCAAATCCAGCCTCAGACACATAACACTAAATAGCTGTGTGACCCTGGGCAAGTCACTTAACCCCATTGCCTGAACTGGAATAAATAAATCAATAAAATAAAGAAAGAAAAATGAAATGAGATTATTGAACTGAATAACCTTGGATCCTTTCCTGCTCTAAATCTATAGTTCTGTAAAATTAATACTATTCTAATACAATGAAAAACATATTTAGGCTAAATGGAGGAGTGCAGAAATAAAACCCGTTACTATGTTTTTGATTTATGTTATACAGTTTTCCAAGGACAAGCAAATCAGCAAACATATTTTTTTAACCAATCAGCAATCCTGCTTTAGTAGATTATGCTTTTTTTTAAATACGCACTTATTTCCTCAGTACTGACTAGTTTATAGAAAGATAATTGTGTATTATTTTTAGATTGCATCATATAACTTCATAATATTTTTTACAATAAAAACAAAACTTTTGCTTTGGTAGTTTTTATTCTGGAAATAAGTAGATTAGTATTTATTTTAGCATGTACATGTTAGAGTTAGCAAATATTAATTATGGTAATTATAAACCAAAATTGTTATTCTATTGAGGACTTAGGATATTAGGATAATTTAATGTTTTGAACTTTGGGGAAATAAATGCAAGGCTAAGAAAATGAAATATAGTACTGTGTTAGGTAAGAATTGAAGTCTGAAAAGAAGAAGAGTAAGGGAAGATATGATAGTTTTAAAATATTTGAGTACTATCATGTTAGAAGAGAAAGGAAACTTGTTCTATTTTGTTTGAAAAGAAACAAGTAGAAACCAATAAATGTAAATTACAAGGAGATAGATTTCAGCTTTATATAAAAAAGGGAATAGGAAGAGATAGATTTCAGCTTTATATAAAAAAGGGAATAGGAGAGCCTAGACCCATGGTTTCTTTGATATAGGGAACTCCTAGGTAGGTGAGGAAGTTCCCTCTAGCAATCTAAGTTATCACCTTCTCTGCAACAAAAGTTACGTGACTTTCCTAAGGTTGACCAGCCAGTATATGTCAAAGGCAAGTCTCAAACCCTGTTCTTTCTAGCTTCAGGCTGGCAGCTTTCTATCCACTAAACCATGCTGCTTCTCCCTAAGTAAGAAAGAACTTTGTAAAAATCAATGTATTCTGTTGCTGGATAAATGTCACAAATTCCCCAGTATTCATGCTTAAAGATCACAGAATGCCCAAAAGAGACCATAGAAGTTTCCCAGGCCAGTCACCTCAGTTTACAGATGAGAAACTAATTAGTGACAGATCTGGAATCCAGTGTTCCTGATACCCAATCTGTTACTTATACCATTATACCATCTTAGATTATTCAATCAAAGGCTAGATAGATAGCCCCATCCAGGTATTCAGTGAACATTTTTTAAGCTCATTTTATGGTGAAGAACTGTTCTAATTGCAGCTTGACTTGCTTTATAAAGACAAAAGTAGCTTACATTCTACAAGGGAACATATTATATGCAATAATAACTGATATTGTTTAATTGAAAAGAAAAAAACTTTGTTTTCATAATCTCATTGGAGCTCTACAACCCTATAGGCCAGCTACTATATCCCTATTTTATGGGTGAGGAAATTGAGACCAAAAGGGTAAATTATTTCTTTGTGGCTGTAAATACAGGATGTACAAAGGTAGAATTTAACCCAGGTCCTTTTGACTCCACTATATTCACTGTGCCATGCTGCCTTTAAGGGAATTTCAGCAGAGATATAGATCAATAATAATGAGCAGGACATAGGGGCAGCTAGGTGGCACAGTGGGTAGAGCACCGGCCCTGGATTCAGGAGGACCTGAGTTCAAATCCAGCCTCAGACACATAATACTTACTAACTGTGTGACCTTGGGCAAGTCACTTAACCCCACTGCCTAACCAAAAAAATAATAATAACAATAATAATAATGAGCAGAACAGGTATCGTGTAGGAGGAGAATTTTTACATTGGAGGTGATGTCTGAACTAAGTGTTGAAGGAAGCTAGGAGTTTTAAGAGTAGAAGGTGAGGAGGGACTCCTACACAAAGGTACAAAGATGGGATATGATTTTTGTACTATTAGTGGCTGATGAAAAGGGACTCTTTTTAAAAAAATTTTTTTTATTAATTTACTTTGATTTGTCATCAATCACTTCCATAAGCTTTTGAGTTTTGAATTTTTCCTCCCTTCCTCCCCAAGATGGCATACAATCTGATATAGGCTATACATATACATTTCTATTAAACATATATTCACATTAGTCATGTTGTAAGGAAGAATTAGAACTAATAGGAAGAACCACAGGAAAGAGGAAACAAAACAAAACAGAAGAAAAAAATAGCAAATAGTATGCTTCAATCTGCATTCAAACTCCATAGTTCTTTCTTAGGATGTGGATAGCATTTTCCGTCATGAGACTTTTGGAGATGTCTTAGACCCTTGCATTTCTGAGAAGGATTGTCTATCAAAGTTAGTCATCACACAGTGTGGCTGTTATGGAGTACAACGTTCTCCTGGTTCTGCCCACTTCACTCAGCATCAGTCCATACAAGTCTTTTCAGGTTTTTCTGAAGTCTGCCTGCTTATCGTTTCTTA